GTGAAAGCAGCTGTGGTCCATGAATAGGTGCTGAGGAGATGCAGTGAGGCCGACGTAAAGAGGGTTCCTCGGTCTCTGAGCTGCTTATTCCCCTCAGCAGACACACACCTGGCAAGTCCTGAGCTCACGTCCCTGTTGGGCTCACTGTGCTCTGGTTGGTCACTACTTTTTTTTTTTTTTTTTTTGACAAGGCAGAGTTAGAGAGAGAAAGGTCTTCCTTTTCCGTTGGTTCATCCCCAAAATGGCTGCTGCAGCGATCCAAAGCCAGGAGACAGGTGCCTCTCCTGGTCTCCCATGCAGGTGCAGGGCCCAAGCACTTGGACCATCCTCCACTGCCTTCCCGGGCCACAGCAAAGAGCTGGCCTGGAAGAGGGGCAACCGGGACAGAATCCAGCGCCCCGATTGGGACTAGAACCCAGGGCGCCAGTGCCACAGGCGGAGGATTAGCCTAGTGAGCCGGTGCCGCGGCCCTACTACTTTTAAAGCCGTGGATTAGGCCATGATCATTCATATGAAGTTTTGGGGAATTTTCACATGCTGCCTTTGTACTTCAGTTGCATGTGTCTTCCTTTAATGATGTTTACATTTCAGAGTCCATCACCTTTTTCTTCTATTGCTTTATTTTGAAATAATTTTTGCTCGGCAGAAGGGTTAGGGTTGCCCTTCACCCAGACGCCTCCAACGCGGTGTCTACGTGACACTTAGCAAACCCAGACCTGAGTAATGGGGCTGGTCACTAGCTCCAGACCCATTCGAGCTCCCATTTTCCCACCGCTGTCATTTGCCTGTTGCTGCATCTAGTCCTCATGTCCCCGTCTCCTCCCCTGACAGATTCTCTCCTTCCATGTCTTGTACGACCTGGTCACTTTCGAAGCGCACTGGCCAGGTGTTTGTAAGTGTCCCATAACTTGGGTGTGCTGGCTGTTTTCTGACTGAGTTGATGGGTTTTAAAGACTCCGGGGTGGTGACACAGTTCTTACCACGCTGCATTAACTGGTGTGTGGCAGTAGCAGAACTTTGTACCTTGGCACGTTCTTCGCTGTAAAGTTGCTGTTTCCACAGTCCTTTTGTTAAGAGCCGTGAGTCACTAAGCCCAGTCTACACTCAGAGATAGGAGAATCAGGAGACTTTGGGGGTACCTGTTGTGACTTCCACAGTAATTAATGAATATCAGGAGAGAAACTTGGAGGCTATGTTTCTTCCAAACATTCTGCCCGTGAATTTATTACAGAAGTGTTACAATAGTGATGTTCCCTCATTTCTTCTACACGTACTTTTTGGATTATTTTGTAAAGAAAATGGGCTTTATTCACTGAGCATGAACAGTATATGTTTGTATCCTTTTGATGTGCTTCCATTATTTTTTTTTTTTAGCACTGCCTTACTTTTTGACACTGCACAGTGCTCCAGGAACATCTCGTATTCGCCTGTAGTCTAGAATCACATTTCTCCAGGGGCCCCAGGCCCATTTATTGGAGAATAGTATTAGAAACCAAGTCCTGGCTGCTGGGTACACTGGTTGCTACTGCGATGTCACTGTAGACCCTCTCAGTGGATGGAGCCCGAGAATCTGTAAATATCTGCCGGCCCATGCGTATGCACTTATCTGTAGAAATGTCAGTATTTACCAGTGTCTAGTTAAGTGAACATAAACATGTGTTCCTACTGATCCCTGACATGAATCCAACACCACAGGTTTATTCTAACACTCACTGCTTTTTCTGACAAAATCTGGCTTTCCTGTCTGTATTTACTTGTTTGTTCAACCCTAGGATACATACAGGTGCAGAATTGCTAAACCTGTGAAATTTAGCAACTTGTATTGTCTTTTCTGCCTGTGGCCTTACAGTATCCAGTCTAAACACTGTTTTTCTAAGCTATGTAGGCCAGCCTCTTAAACATTTTTTTAAAGTTATTTTCATTTTATTTGAATAGCAGAGACAGATGTTCCATCCACTGGTTCACTCCCTCAAGTGCCTGCAACAGCCAGACCTGAGCCACGCTGGAACCTTGGTTCAGGCTTCCCAGGTGTGTGGCAGGGACCCAAGTACTTCAGCTATCACCGGCTGCCTCCCGGGGTGAACGTTAGCAGAAGCTAGATCAGAAGCAGAGCTAGGACTTGACTCCTTCCAATCTGGGATACAGACATCCCAAAACAGCATCTTAACTGCCATGCCACACACACACCTCTAGCCAGTGTCCTTACTTTGAATGAGGTGTCTCATATTTGTAATATGTTGGGCTTATTTATCGAAGTTTGCATTTGCATTCCATACTGGAATCTGCAATATCCTGGTTTTTAGTTCATGTACAGTCTGTGGGTCTTGACAAATTGATATTCCTGGATCCAACAGGAGTGCCATACAGAAGTTCCTTCACCCTAAGATTTATGTAACCCTTCATAGTCCAGCCTTCCCCATGTCCCAGCCATTGACAAGCACTCATCTGTTTTCTATCCTGCAGTTTCTCACCATTTCCAGACTCATAAATGGAAGCTTACAATAATAAGTAGCCTTTTGAGGCTGGCTGTTCGTTCATGTATAGAATGCATGTAAGGTTCTTCTCTGTTGTTGCAAGAAACACAAGCTGCTTTCTTCTCACTGCTGAGTGGCATTCCATTATCTAAATGAACCTGCTTATTTATCCATCTTTCTCTTGTAGGTAGCTGGGTTGTTTCAAGTTTTCGGTGAACATGAATAAAGCTGCTTTGACTAAACATGCATGGGTGTTCTCAATTCATTGGTGAAATACCTGTGAGTTGGATTGTTTGGGCATGAGGTATACATACATTTAATTCTAAATTATTTTCCAAAGGGCTTTACTATTTTGCATTTCTGCCAGCAGTAAGTCTGACTCTTGTTCTATATCCTCAGTTGTCATTCTTGTAAGCATGTAGTGATATAGCATTGTGGTATTATTTTATATTGCCCTAATACCTAATAATATGACTCTTTCCATACATTTTCCATTATATATCTTGAAGGGGTTTTGTTGCTGTTGTTGTTTTTAAATTTGAAAGGTAAAGAGAGATTGATCTTTCATCCGCTGGTTCACTTTCCAAATGCCTCCAACAGCTGGGGCTGGGCTAGGCCAAAGCCAGGAGCTAAGAACTCAGTGCAGGTCTCCACACGGTTGCTAGGAACGCAAGTATTTGAGGTGCCTCCCACAGTGCAGATTAGCAGGAAGCTACAATCAGAAACAGGACCAGAACTTGAACCCAGGTACTCTGATAAGGATACAGGTCATTCCCATAGTCTTTTTTTGAGTATATCTACTCAAAAATCTGCACATTTGAAAAATTGGGTTATTCTATTTTTTTTAATTAAGGCTTCTTTATTCTGTATATAAAATCTTCATGAGATATGTGACCTGCAAGTATTGTCCCCAAGCCTATAATTTATCTTTGTAGTCTTTTAATGCTGAAGTTGAATTTAGCTTTTGGAGCCAGGAACTCCCTCCAGGTCCCCCATGCTAGTGGCATGCTGCCTCCCAGTTACAACAGCAGGAAGCTGGATCAGAAACAAAGGTAGGACTCAATCCCAGGCACTTTGTTATGGGAATGTGGGTAACCTATGTGATGGCTTAACTAGCTGTGCCACAATACCTGACCCTATTCTAGAAGTTGTAGTTTTACATTTGGGCCTGTGGTCTACTTAAGAGTAGGCCTACTAAGAGGTATGAGGTATATGTCAAGTTTCATTGTTTTTGTTTCAACATTCAATTTTCCAGGATTATTTTTTGAAAAGATTAAACTTTTCTTGGTTGAACTACCTTTTTCCAAACTCAGCTGACTCTGTTCATGTGAGTCTATGTCTGGGATCCCTGTTGTTCCACTAAATTATGCCTACCCTTTGCCCATACCAAACTGTCATGATTTGAACTCATGTTATACAAATCTTTCAACTTTGTTCTTTTCAGAATTGACAATTTTAGTTAGTTTTTCCATACAAATTTTTTCTTCTTTTAAAGATTTATTTATTTGAAAAGCAGAGCAACAAAGGAGAGACAGATGTTCCACATGCTGGTTCACTCCCCAAATGCTACAACTGCTAGGTCTGGGCCCTGCTGAAGCCAGAGACTGGAAACTCTATCCTGGTCTCCTGTGTGGGTGGCAGGGGCCCAAGGACTTGCTTGGGTCATCATGTGCTGCCTTCCAAGATGCATTCGCAGAGTCAGACTGGAAGTGGGACAGCCGGGACTTGAATTATCTATCACTCTGATAATGGAATGTGGGAGTCCAAAGTAGTGGCTTAATCTGCTCTGCCACAACACAGGCCCCTCCATACAAATTTTTCAAGTCAGTTTGTCAATATCGATAAAACAGCTTGTAGAGTTTTGGGTTGAGGCTGTGTTAACACCTGTAGATCAAACCAGGGGGAATTTAACAATATCTTAGCAATACTGAATCTTCTAATTCATGTATTCACTAGTATCTTTCTCCATTTAGATCTTGGTTTTCCAGTGTTTGTCTGTTCTTAGCATACAGACAGCATATATTGTTAGATTTACATCTAAGTATTCCTTTAATATTTTTTGGAGGGAATGCTATTGTAAATGCTATTTTTAGGTCTATAGCCCCATTGTTCATTGGTATAGGAATATAATTTTCACCGTGTATTTCTGACTTATTTCCTGTGACCTTTTTATAACTGATATTATTTCCAGGAGCTTTTTTGTTCATTCAGTGGCATTTTCTACAGAGACAATTATATCAATTATAGACCGAGCCATTTTATTTCTTTCTTCCAATCTATATGCTTTTTATCTTATTGAACTGCCTAGGAATCCAACTGTTGTTTCATTAACAACATGAGCTAAAGTATGATGGATTTTATTATTTTACCTATATTCACATATTTTAAGTTCAACCTCCTCCTTCTAACCTCAATTTGTAGTTCCTGTATTAAAGTGCTAGCTCCCAGGGAACACACAATGACAACTTTTTTCACTCTCTCTGTTACCATCCTCTCGTAACCCCAAAATAAAAACAAGAGTTCATGTGTTTTTATAATAGGATTTACTTTTCTTTTTTTTCTTAAAATATATATTTCTTATTAAGTTAAAACTAAGCACATTTAACACCATTATATTTCACATTCTTCAGCTTGAATGCTGACATCATCTGTTACTTGATGATTTTAGTTACTAAGTGTTATACACAGGGAACAAGTATTGATGTTTACCATGATGTAAACGACTACTGTCTCCCAGTCAAGGGTGCATCTGTGGGTGTCCAGAAAGATAGTTTCAACCTTTGTGAAAAGTTCAGGAACATCCTAGGAGTTTGCAGTTGATTTTGAAGGTTGGAATTGTCCTGCTTCAAATTTTTCTTTGAATTTTAAGTAGTCTCTTCTTTTATCAAAATATTTTATCTGTTGAGGAAACAAAGAGTTTGAAATAAGGGCAAGTGATGCAATTTAGATGAGCAAAAGCACAGACTGAAATCTAACTATTCAATATGAAAGAGACTTATATTCTAGAACATCTGAAACTAGGCGCCTGATGAATCCATCTCTGAGGAGGGAGGCCATGGACCAGTGGGTCCTAAGCCTTTTAGGTTACAGGTCCTGTTAAGAATCTGAATAACCCAGGAACCCAACCTACGTGCACATATGGAAGTCTTGCCAAGTTCAGAGTGCACACAGTGACAGGCCAAGAGCCTTCAGATTTAAAGATTAGGATTGCCCACTAATTAATTAAGCTATCGTTCAACAAGGCATTAAGCCCTTGACTGACTGCAATGGAAATTAAAAATGTTATCTCAAAAACTAAAAGAAGGTAGGGGGAGAAGGAAACAGGAAGGAGGGAAGAAAGGAAGGAAAGGAACATAATTATGTTTTTGGAACTGATCTATGAACTACATTGAATCTGTGAAAAAATATTAAAAATATATGAAAATGTACTCAATAAATAATAGGAAAATACAAATAAAAGATACAGGATTGTTTTCCTTATCAACTCTTAATTTCAACACACTTTATAATTTACCAGCCATGACATTTTTATCAAGTCTCATCCAGACACGTGCATTCAAGGAAACAGACACATAGTTTAATATTGTATTTATGAACCATAAGTGAATGGGTAGAAAAACTAAGTCAGTTAATGATCTGGCTTTATTTTTTAATTACAGCCTCCCTTGCCCATAGGGAATTTTAAAAATCTTAAAGCGCCATATCCTGATACAGTAAAATACAGAAAGTGGAAAAACGCCTAGGTGCCAAGCACAAAGCTGTCTGTCTGAGCTGCTCTGCAGAGACGGCCAAAGCAGACCACCACATAAGGCACTGTCAGGCCAGAGAACGCTAGTTCTTTGTTAAAAGCCTTTCTTAAGGTTGAATTCTTATGTACTTCAGTGGGGCTTCTGTCCTGCCCTGTATCCAGCTGGGATAGCAGACACAGACAGGCCAGCAGCAAAGCAAACCTTTCTCCCCCAAGGCATCCCAGGGCCCCGGGGTGTCCGGATGGACCCCTTCCCAGAGTGACTGCTGCTTTCTCATTCACTGGGAAACCTTGTTCTCTAAAATCATAGACTATCAGAAATTTGCTCTTTGAAGTTTTATCAGGGAGAATGAATAGCCCGCTTCTGCCTAGAGGATCTGAAGTGCTTTGACACTGAGAAGCAGCCTTGATCTGCAAACTCAAAGGCAGGACTTCAAATAGGGATTTCTGACGTGTCACTCAGTCTTCAACTTCGACAGCACCCTGGGCCCACGACCTGTTTATCTGCAGCTCTCTGCTCTGCTCTGAGGCCACCAAACACCGCTTCACTTCAATTCTACCTAACTCCATCCTTCCCCTCAGTCCTGCAGTGACTCTTTCTTTTTGGCGAGATGTTCACAGTTCCTCTGGGGCATGGTCTTCCTGCTAACTACACACTCCATCTATCAGACCACAGGTCTCTCCCTGGAGGTCTTAGCCTGGCTGGGCTGGGATGGATGTTATATCAAAAATATGGAATGATGAAGTAAAGTCTTTAACATTTCTGTGGCAAATTAATAATTTGGCATCTCCTGTTGCATCTACCTCGCAGGCAACTCTATGTAGAGGCCTCACCGACATTTCATTCCCAACCTGTCCAGTACTTGGCTCCTCTGGAAACGTTTCCCCTCTTCCTGTAACTATTCTTTTTTTTAAAGATTTATTTTTATTTATTTGAAAGACAGAGTTACAGAGACAGAGAAGTCTTCTATTCCGCTGGTTCACTCCCCAGATGACCGCAACTGATCTGAAGCAAGGAGCTTCTTCCAGGTCTCCCACGTGGGTGCAGGGGCCTAAGGACTTGGGCCATCTTCTACTGCTTTCCCAGGCCATTGCAGAGAGCTGGATGGGAAGTGGAGCAGTTAGGACTCAAACAGGTGCCCATATGGGATGCTGGCACTGCAGGCTGGGGCTTTAACCCACTGCACCACAGCACCGGCCCCTATTTTTTTTTAAATTAATTTATTTATTTGAAAGGCAGGGTTACACAGAGAGAGAAGGAGAGGCAGCCTTGCCCATATGTCTGCTTTCTCTGAATTTCCCACCATCCTTGAAATGCTACTCCTACAGAGCTATCCTGAACATGCTTCCTTCCTGTGAGTCTTGCTTTCATGCCACTGCACGCACCACCCTCTGCCTGGAAAACTCTCCTCCCCAGCCGCCTTCCTCCATCAACTAAGAGTCCAATATCCTCAACATGCACTTTCTCTAAAAGGCTAATAATTAGCAAGCATTTACTGAGATGCACTGGATACATATAAGCTACCACCCTCTAAAACATTAAATAAGAGCCAGGACAGTACCGTGAATACCAAAATACTGAATTTTCAGACATTTCAGAAATTTATAAAAAAAAGATCATTTCTCAACTTGATGCTAGGATCAAATATCCTACATGTTCCGTTGCTCTGTGGAAGACCACAGAGGTACATGGGATCCTTCCTAAGTTCTGAACTACAGCAGACTTTAAGTAGGACCATACATGACTCATATTGATGAGTCCTTTGTAACAGATAAGCTAGTACCAGAGAAAAGGAATTCACTTCTGTGACAGCTAGCAGGAAGTAAACACCATACTTATCATGTAACTTGTGTTTTTAGTATTTTAGGATAGGACTATGTATTACAAATCAATTTGGTCTTCTATTTTTAATCTTTGTTATTTGTGACTTTAGCTAAGTAAAGGATGCAAACTTTGGAATCGTAAAGCACTATATTTCGTATTTCAATCTCCTCTCTACTGGTTGGCTGATCTTGGACAATTTCACCTGTGTGAGCTATAGTTCTTACAGTGTATAAAACAATTACAACACTGTTCCATAAAAATTAATCAAACTGGACCGGCACTGTGGTGCAGTGAGTAAAGCTGCTGCCTGCAGTGCTGGCATCCCATATGGGTGCCAGTTCAAGTCCCAGATGCTCTACTTCCAATCCAGCTCTCTACTATGGCCTGGGAAAACAGCAGAAGATGCCCCAAGTTCTTGGGCCCCTGTACCTCCGTGAGAGACCTAGAAAAAGCTCCTGGCTCCCAGCTCCTGGCTTCCCATCAGCCCAGCTCTGGCTGTTGTGGCCATTTGGGGAGTGAACCACAGATGGAAGATCTCTCTCTCTCTGCCTCTCGAACTCGCCTTTCAAATAAAATAAATCTTTTTTAGAAATGAATGAAAATTAAATCTTATGAAAATACGGGCAGATATTTGGTACAGGGCTGAGATGCTGCTTGGGATACCTGCATTCCCTACAGGAAGGAGTGCCTGGGTTTGAATCTCAGCTCTACCCCTAGATTCTAGCTTCCTGCTAAGAAGCATGTATGCTGGGAGATGGCAGGTGATGACGCAAGCCCCTGAGGCCCTGCCATTCATATGGGAGACCCAGATTGAGGCTGCTGGTCCAGCCCTGGCTGTTGTAGACATTTCAGGAGTGAAACAGCAGACAGAAGATGTGTGTCAGTCAGTCTCTGTCTCTCTTTCAAATAAAATGAAAAAAAAAAATTTAAAACTAGTTTCTTTAAAAAAATAAATAATAAGCTGGGACCAGCGCTGTGGCATAGCAAGTTAAGCCGCCTCCTGTAGCCCTGACATCCCATTTGGGCGCCAGTTTGAGTTCTGGCCGCTCCACTTCCAATCCAACTCCCTGCTAATGTGCCTAGGAAAGTAGCGGAAGATGGCCCAAGTGCTTGGGCCCTATACCTACGTAGGAGACCTGGAAGAAGCTCCTGGCTCCCCTGGCTTCAGATCAGCCCAACTGTGTGAACCAGTGGAGGAAAGCGCTAACTGTGCTTTTCAAATAAATAAATTAAAAAAAAAAACAAAACAAAAAAAAAAACAAAACAAAAAAAAAAAAACAACTAATGAAAACAAGGTGTCTCATCCACTCACCCAGAACAGACTCAAATGATATTTCCAGTTCCTCCCCATCTTCTATCTCCCCACACTCTCACACTCATGATCTCTGGAAAGACCATCAGCTTTTATTTTACAGCAACTGGGTAAGACTCCAACAAGGTAACACCTGAGAAGGGAGCAAAACACTGAAACTGAAGTGGGAAGGCTGCGAGAGAGCAGGGCTGAAGAGAACGGTGCAAACAGGAAAGGCATCCCTCTCGAATGCTGCAGCAGTCAATGAGAATAGCTGGCTGCACGCCAGATATGGAGGCCTCTCCTGGCCTCTATCCCTTACTCCTGAACTCGACGAGCGCTCGTGGTCTCCTGTATCCCTCAGAGTACAAGCCACCATCCCCGGCTTCTTGTCTCCTTTCTCACCTAACTCCTGTTCTTCTCTCCTTACTCATCCTTAACACATCAGGGCTGTCCCACAGTAGGGTTGTTATGCGCTATTCTGCCTGAAATCTCACCAGATACCTGTACATCTGCTCCCCAGCCTTTCCAATATCTGTGCAGCTTCTTGCTAAGGCCTTTCTTTCTTTTCCATATGTATGTGTGTGTATGCTTTAAAAAAAAAAGATTAATGTATTTACTTACTTAAAAGGCAGAGTACCAGGGCAGAAGCTAGATCTTCTACCTATTGGTTCACTCCCCAAGTGCCCACAGCAGCTGGGGCAGGGCCAGGCAGAAACCAGGGGCTGAGAATGCCATCCTGTCTCCCACATGGGGAGCCAGAACCCAAGTTCTTGGGCCATGATCCACTGCCTTGCCAAGCGCATCAGCACGAAGCTGGATCAGAAGCAGAGGAGCCCAGACCCACACTGGCACTCTAATGTGGGGGGCAGGCATCCGAGGCGGCAGCTTAACCCAGCGTGCCACAATGCCTGCCCTGGACAATGGCTTTCCTGACTGCCCTATCTCAACTTGCAAACAACCGCCATGCTTCCCACCCTGGCACCTCTATATTACTTTTCATCAGATCACACATCACTATTAACACATCTTAATTTTACTTCCTCTCTCTTCTCCACCCTAGAATGCATGCTACATAAGAGCTGAGCACTTTATCCATTTTTTCTTTGTATTTTTCTATGACACACAGTAAATACCTGTGGAATGACTGAATAGGATATGGACTGAAAAAAAGGGGTAGGGGACAGAAGCCAGATTCCAGTGGAGCAATCATCTGTATTTGGGAGGTCTCATTCCATACCATCGAGTCACCAATAGGCAGGCCCTGCATTCTTGGATTTTTCTTTAAGAAATACTCCTTTTACAAATCATCTCATCATGTTACTTTTCTTGTTAGGAGGCAAACCTGTGGTCTCCACTCCACAAGCAGTGACTGTAATGCGCACACTTTCATGGATCAATTTCACAATGATAGGCACAGGAAGAACTGTGTGGGGTCTGGAATCAGCCTTCTGAGTTCCAATCCTGGCTCTGTGCTTACAAGTGACTTCATTTCAATGTGCCTGTATCCTCATCTGTAAAACTTGCTACGAGAATTCTATGGGGGATAAATGCGATAGATGACGCAGCACTCCAAGGGCATAGAGAAGATGCTGGCCTAGAGTACGGGCTCAATAAAAGTTTGTTGTGATGAGGACACAGTGACCTGGAGAAAGGGTGGGTCCTCAAGGCATGGCACTCAGCTTGCCTAAGAAGGGGAGACAGAGGATAATCAAACCAACCTGCTGGCTGTTAAATCCTTTACAGCACAGCGAAGAGAAGTTACCCTTGGAAGCAGGGAAGAGGGAGACTCTACGAGCCATTGGGTTGAAGAAAAACAAGGGGGGTTAGGGTGGCAAGTTCCAGGCTTGGGTTACCCACCAGAATCACTTGTGGAGCCAGGGCCCCTATATAGGAAGTTGTGGTTCCATTTCTAGAAATTCATCAGCTCTGATGTAAAAGCTGGGACATGATGTTTAGTAGAACGTCCCAATGATTCTGATGTGTAACCCGATGGAAAGTCACAGCTAGGCTGAAAAACACAGGTCTCACGGTGAGTAACAGAACAATATGGGGATGTATAGGGGTGGGACATGGCAGAGCTCGGCATCATCGGCCCTGACCCCACCCAGCTCTGCGTGGCCATGGGCCCACAAGGTCACAAAAGACTCATGTTTGATGTCAGCCCCAAGTCTTGACATTTTCCATCTACTTTTTCTTTTTTCTTAAAAGATTTAGTTATTTAGAGAGAGGGAGAGCAGAGAGAAAGGTCTCTTCCATCCACTGGTTCACTCTCCAAATGGCCACAATGGCTAGAGCTAGCAGATCCAAAGCCAGGTGCCACGAGCTTCTTTAAGGTTTCCCATGTGGGTGCAAGGGACCAACACCTGGGCCATCTTCTGCTGCTTTTCCCAGGCCATTAGCGGGGAGCTGGATGGAAAGTGGAGCAGCTGGGACATAAACCGACGCTGATATGGGATGCTAATGCTGGTGCTATGGCGTAGTGGGTTGCGACTTTACCTGCTATGCCACAGCACTGGCCTCTTCCACCTACTTCTCTCTCTCTCTCTTTTTTTTTTTTTTTTTAATTATTTGACAGAGTTATAGACAGTGAGAGAGAGACAGAGAGAAAGGTCTTCCTTCCATTGGTTCACTCCCCAAATGGCCGCTACGGCTGGCGCTGCGCCAATCCGAAGCCAGGAGCCAGGTGCTTCCTCCTGGTCTCCCATGCGGGTGCAGGGGCCCAAGCACCTGAGCCATCCTCCACTGCTCTTCCGGGCCACAGCAGAGAGCTGGACAAGAAGGGGAGCAACCGGGACTAGAACCCGGTGCCCATATGGGATGCTGGTGCCGCAGGCGGAGGATTAACCAAGTGAGCCACAGCGCGCCCCCCCCCCTTCTTAAACCAAGTATTGTAGGGGCTGGGATTATGGCACAACCAGTGGAACCGTCACCTGCGACACCAACATCCCATATGGGCACCGGTTCATGTCCCATCTGCTCCACTTTTGATCCAGCTCCCTGCTAATGGCCTGGGAAAAGCAGCAGCAGGCCCAGGTGCTCAGGCCTCTGCCGCCCCTGGAGAGACCCAGATGAAGCTCTTGGCTCCTGGCTTCAGCCTGGCTCAGCCCTGACTATTATGGCCAGTCAGAGAATGAACCAGCAGATGGAAAACCTCTCCCTCCCTCCCTTTCAAGTAAATAAATAAATCTTTAAAAACATAAAACAAACTAGGAGTTGCTCTCAATGTATTCATCTAAAATTAAAACCACAGGGGCCGGCGCTGTGGCTCACTTGGTTAATCCCCCGCCTGTGGCACCAGCATCCCACATGGGCACCAGGTTCTAGTCTCGGTTGCTCCCCTTCTGGTCCAGCTCTCTGCTGTGGCCCGGGAGGGCAGGGGAGGATGGCCCAAGTGCTTGGGCCCCTGCACCCACATGGGAGACCAGGAAGAAGCACCTGTTTCCTGGCTTTGGATAGGCGCAGTGCTGGCCATAGCAGCTATTTGGGGAGTGAACCAACAGAAGGAAGACCTTTCTTTCTGTCTCTCTCACTGTCTATAACTCTACCTGTCAAATAAATTAAAAAAAAATTAAAACTACAGATGTATAACATTTCTCTGTTAATTCACATCTAATCCAATCAGAGTTCAGGTTTTCAAGTTAAATATTTAACCTTTATGACAATCCCATGACAGGTTGCATGGTGCAGGTTTTACAGAGGAAGAGTTCATGTAAAGCCGTTTCTACTCACTGCATTCACCCCCAGCTCAGCCCACCAAAATGACCTCCACCTCCCCCACACCTTTCCTTTGATCTCCCTCATGGCCTCAGGGGACTGACTGACCCACTTAAGAATTTCAGGAGTGTTAGGTGCTCAGGGGTCACGGGGGGTTGGTGACCACACTGTTGGACAGTGCAGATAGCTTCTCTGTTACACAGGAAATCGTGGCAGCACAGCCAGCTCTGGGGTCCTGACTTAGGCATGACATTGAACAAGTCACTTAGAAAATGACATTGACCTCACCAAGTTATCATGAGAATTCAGTGAGGGCAGGTTCCTACATGCAGCCTCTCCTGCGGATCCTGATACACTGAGGCCCTGAACGCTAGTCCCGTTGCACCTGCCCTGGGCACCTGTCGCTCCCCTGCCTTTGCTCACAGAGTGCCCTTCTCTTATTCTGCCACTCTGATACCATCTTAGGTGGGATCCTGTCTGGCCTCGCTGCTCCAAATTCCCTCTGCCCTCGTGCCAGCAGAGTTCATGCCTGAGATGGCAGAACAGCTGTGCCTGCGTGTGTCTGTGTCCACTGAGGACCCTGGCTGTGTCTGGACGGTTTGTTAGCACCCTTGGATTTCGCTGCTTTTCTGGGAGGTTGTCTTTTAAATCACTTTCCCCGCAAGACTGAACTGCAGGCTTTGTGCGTGTGCCAGGTTCCATCTCGGGGATGGATCAACCCCTGTGGATGGGTACTGACTGGAAGACCCTCAGAGGCAGGAATTCCTGGAAACGTGATGGATCTTGGTGTTGCCACCGCTCCACGCAGAACAGGCACAAAAGCACCTGGTAACTGGATGAGCAGCCTCCTCACCACGCTGAGCGTCACACACTGCCACATGACAGCGGCGCTTGTGACCACCACAGCACTTCCCACACAGGACCACTTACCAACCTCAGTAACATCATCTTCCTTTTCTGATCCCTCCACACTAAGGGTGGGCAAAACATGGATGCCTGTCACGGACGCAGATCCACCATAGGAACCTTTCACTTCTTCTCCTGGCCAATCCTTTCTTTATATTTTGGGTCTACAACGACATGATTCTGGGAGACCAACTGGCAATGCTTTCTGACAGCAGCGCTAACCTAATACACCGGACAACTCCTGCCCAAGGCTAGGAGGAAGCACTAACCTTGCAGAAGCAGGCTGGAGATTTTTGGTTATGGTTCCTACGTTTGTTTGATTTGCGATGACCTTTAAGGTGCCAGCCTGCTTAAGTACAGGAAAACAAGCCTGAGGCAATAACCATTGCTCCTGGAAGGCACTGTCCACTGGCCTGCCTCCAGCAGGCAGCGCTGGGTCTCCGCGCCCACCACACACACTGGGAGCTCCGTGTGCGTTAGCAGTGCAAGTGTGACTTACCCACTGTTGCGGACAGCTGGATTCAAACGAGCTCCTTAACTTCCTGCACTGAGAAGCGTCCTCCATGTGCTCATCTAAACACTTCCAGTACTCATCGCGGGCTCCCCAGCAAGCCTGCCTTTCCTTCATAGTCGGGGCCGCCATTCCTCTTGGGAGCAAGCTGTCGGACAAAACATTCCACACGCACAACAGACTTGTGATGTGAAGGAAAGACACGGAGAGAAAAAGACCGCCATTCCCTCCTGCTCCCTTTCTGTTTAAGTTATGCCTCGGAATTGTAATGAAGCAACTGACGGGACCAAAGATCCCCCGCAACACACACCGCACCAAGTCCTTCTCGGGCTCGGTCCCACCCTGCTCGGGGTGACCACGCGCCGAGAAGGGGAAAGCAGTGACGGGCGAGTGTCAGGGTCACAACGGATACAGGGAAGCCGCGTTGGAAGCGGGCCCGCGCAGTTCTGCTGCTCTCCCGGGCAGCTCGCGTATTCTCTCCGGGCCTGTTTTCTCATCGCTAAAACCGGGCTAGCAGGGTCCATTTTACAAACGTGTGCGGGGACACACACTAAGCAACAGCACGAGCACTACCGCGTTCCGCAGACACACAGCCTGCGGCTCGGAGACAGGAAGGGAACTCCCGGGGACACACTCCACGCGCCCCGCCCGGTCCCGCCAGCAAGCTGACCTCTCCGCCCGCCCGGGTCTGGCTTCCCTTCGGCGCCCACAGGAGGAGAGGCTCACGCAGCCCAACAACCAGCGGAGGAGGGCGCGTGCCAACTGGCTCGGGATCACGCGGCACCGTAGACCTCACCACCACCACCAGCAAAAAAAAAAAAAAAAAAAAAACCACAAAAAGCACCGCACGCGGCGAAACAGCCAGGCTCCTATTGACCCTTCCGGGCTGCCGTTCGCTTTTTCAGGGAGGGCGGGACTTCCGCTTCCGAGACGGTACCAGTTGGAGGTGACTTCCGGCCTGCCGCGGGACGGAGGTGGTCCCTGGGTCTTGAAGGTAGGAGGAGGTTGAGAAGCCGTCACTGCTCAGGGCCGCTTTGGCCTTAAAGTCTTGGTATCCCTTCCCCTCAGTTTATCACAACTTTAAAGGATTGTGCCCCTTTGGCGGGTGTAAATCTTCGTGTCTCGCCCAAACCATCTGCAAGCCTCAGCGTGCGAGCCCTGCCAGCCTGGGCGAGGGTAAGAGAGGTGCACGGAGCGTTGCAGGGCTGTCACGAACGAAGTGTCCCCCGAGAGAAGCTGAGCCGCCCCCGCACACGGGGGCGTACACACTGTCGTGGGGGCAAAGAAATAGTACTGTTTTGATCCCACCTGTGACTTTTTTACTCCCAAACGCCGGCGTAGTTTTAAAAGGAAGGAAAACTGCTTGAGGTGTTTCAAGAGGGGTTCACGCCTCAGCAGAACCTATTGAAAAGCGAGTACGGATAGAAGTCCGTCGCTGGCTGTGGTCCTAACACATGCCACCTGCTGCTGCGTCTGGTCGGGTTTAAGTGCCCTCTGCCTGCTTGTATGGCTCTCCAGCAGTTTACTGCTCTGCTCCGTACTGGTGTGTAGTCCTTTCCAAACTCCGCATAGGCGTGTGTTCAAGGAGATGGTTAGGGATGTATGGGGAGTATTTCCACAACAGTCAGTGGACTCCAGTGGAAGATTACGTTAGCTTTATCCAAGCCCCCACTGTTACTACGCTACGGCCATTGAGGTCAGTTTATATAAAGATAATATCTTTTAATTATAACTGAGGGGAGGTAGAGAAGGAATGAAAGGAAACAGTCCTAGAGGATTTTTGAGTTGGAAAAATAAATGGATTTAAATTTAAATTTGAATATACCTAATGATAAATATATGTGAAATGAAATTAGAATTACAAAGAAAAATACATCATCATATTGATGATTTTAACAGCCTTTCTACTAATTGTTATGATAAGCAAGAAAAAACAAAGGTATAGAAAGATTGAATAATATTATTTACAAACATAATAAGCATATATAGAACAACACAACCAACATTGAAGGATATATTTTTTAAAACAAACATGACACATTACCAGAATCAACCACATACTTAGCTATGCAACTCAACAAATTTTAAACATCGAAATTATTCACCACATTTATTTTTGCTACAATGTATTTATGCTAGAAATCAGTAAGCTGTGAAAACATAGTTAATGCCAGTAGGAAAATATTTTGAATGAACAATAAATTACAAAAGTTCTACCTGTGGAATGCAGCTGAAGTTGTACTCAGGGACATTCATAGCTATATGGAAAAATTAGTTGTTAGAGAAGAGACGGAAAGGTTGTGACTTAAGAAACAGGGAGAGAAAATAAGACTATGGAAAGTAGGACAGAAATAATAAGAGCAGAAATTAATGAAACGGGAAACAAAGCATTGGTGTGCTGGAGCCTGCACTGGCGTGGGAGAGCCTGCTCTGCACTCTTCTTCCCAGTTCTGTGATCAAATAACTCAAGGTGCTTGCTAGAAATCACCTATGATGGGAGTGTTCACACTACAGAAATAAGTAGATAAGCCAGTGTTTTGTTCTGTTGTGTCTGGCACCAATTCACTCACACAAAGTGATATATAAAATTAAAAAAAAAAAAAAAACCCAAAAGTTAATTTTTAGGAGAGACATAAAATTGATAAACATTTGACTGTATTGAGAAATATAATACATATTGTAATGTTCCATGGTATGTTTCCAATATCTGAAAAAGTCTGGGGTGGGTATTTGGCATAGTGGTTAAGATGCCAGTTAGAACGCCCATGTTGCTTATCAGAGTACCTAGATTTGAGTCCCAGTTCCACTCTGACTCCAGCTTCCTGCTAATGCAGGCCCTGAGAGGCACTGCTGATGACTCAAGTAATTGAACCTCTACCACACATAACGGGAGACCTAGATTGAGTTTCCAGCTCTCAATTCAGCCCGGCCCAGCCCTAGGTGTTGCAGGCATTTGGGGAGTGAACCAGTAGATGGGAACTTTCTTGGTCTGGCTGTCTGTCTTTGTCACTGCCTCTCAAATAAATAAGCTTAATAAAAATCTAGCTCCAAGGATTTCAGATAAGTTACCTGCCTGAGAAAACATCTTTATGAGTTTGGTTGGAGCCAAGTAGTCTTTTAGCCATAAAGGAAAAGATCAAAAAATTCAACTAAAAATTTAAGGACTTTTATTTACCAAACAACACCACAAAGTGAGTGGAAAAGGCAGATCATAGTGTGGGAAAAGTTAGCAAAACATAAAACAATTAGTACCCAGAATATATAAGGAACATCTACAAATCAATAAGTAATAGTCTATTCTTAAAAATGGACAAATGGCTTAAATAGGCACATCACCAAAGAGGAAATGCAAATGAGTAATATGGGAAAATACCAATATCCTTATTCCTAACCATAGAAATGAACATAAAGGGGCCGGCACGTGGCTCATTCGGTTAATCGTCCACCTGTGGCGCCAGTATCCCATATGAGTGCAGGATTCTAGTCCCGGTTGCTCCTCTTCCAGTCCAGCTCTCTGCTGTGGCCCAGGAGAGCAGTGGAGGATGGCCCAGGTGCTTGGGCCCTGCACTCGCATGGGAGACCAGGAGGAAGCACCTGTCTACTGGCTTTGGGTCGGCACAGCGCTGGCTGTGGCGGCCATTTGGGGAGTGAGCCAATGGAAGGAAGACCTTTCTCTCTGTCTATCTCTCTCACTGTGTAACTCTGTCACATTAAAAAAAAAAAAAAAAGAAATGAACATAAAAATCATAGTGCACTACTATTAGGTACCCACCACATCAAAGAAAACAGTCCAACAGTAATAAGGTTTTTTAAAAAAGATTTATTATTTGAAAGATTTACACACAGAGGGAAGGAGAGGCAGAGAGAGAGAGAGAGGTCTTCTCCCCACTAGTTTTCACTCCCCAATTGGCTGTAATGGCTGGAGCTGTGCCAATATGAAGCCAGGAGCCAGGAGCTTCTTCCAGGTCTCCCACACGAGTGCAGGGGCCCAAGGACTTGGGCCATCTTCTACTGCTTTTCCAGACCATAGCAGAGAGCTGGATTGGAAGTGGAGCAGCCAGGACTTGAACCGACGCCCATATGGGATGCCGTACTGCAGACGGAGGCTTTATCTGCTACGCCACAGCGCCGGCCCTAGTAATAAGTTTTAACAAGGGTGAAGCAAGGAGAATCCTTATATACTGGTGATAACTTAGATTTAAATGGATCACTTTGGGAGACTGGCATGTGGTAAAATTGAAGACACATTTGCTATGACTCTGCAATTCCATGGAATCTGCACATGTGCATTTTTGTAATAGCTAAATCCAGTATGTAACCCAAACATGTCAATAATAGAATAGACAGTTTATGTTATAGTCATACTGTGACATGATACAGGAATGAAAACCCAAATGATCACTGTGTATGAAAGCATGCTGAATTGCTGTGTTGGGTGAAAAAAGCAAGTCAACCAAAGAATAAATAGAGTGTGTTTCCACTTAAATAAAGTTCAAAAAACTGGCAAAACTCAGTACTACATTTAGGATACACACATAAGTAGTAAAGATAATGAAAAACGAAGAAATGCTCATCACAAATAGTTCTTTCTGGGGAGAAAGACGAGATGGGCCCAGAGGAGGGTACGGAGCTTCAGGAGTGAGGATCATGTTCTGTTTCTGCACCTGGATGTTTGTTTTCATCATTATTCTTCAAACTGTGTGTGTGTTTTATCCCTGTTTCTGTCTGAATGTATATCTCACAAATTTTAAATAAATAAAATGAATGATTAGCCTTAGAAAGTTCGTCTTCAATATAATCGATTCACAGAAAGATAAATATAATGTTCATGCAGAACATTTATAGTGCAGTTACTAAATTTTTAGTGACGTCAGCATTTTTGTGCTCTTCAAGATCAAGAGTCCCTACTGCTTGGAGGATGGCCCAAGTGCTTGGGCCCTGCACCCCATGGGAGACCAGGAGAAGCACCTGGCTCCTGGCTTCGGATCAGCGCGGTGCGCCTGCTGCAGCGTGAAGATTGCGGCGGCCATTGGAGGGTGAACCAATGGCAAAGGAAGACCTTTCTCTCTCTCTCTCTCTCTCTGTCCACTCTGCCTGTCAAAAAAAAAAAAAAAAAAAAAGAGTCTCTACTGCTGCAAGGCGGTTGTGCAGTAAGCAATTGCTATCAGTCATCAGTCTGTGGGAGCCCTAAGGCACGGACAAGGGAAACACCGCGGAAGAGGGCAGGTGGTGTTCCCCACCTTACACTGAAGGAGGCTTGCTTCCCAGCAATTGGGGAGCACTGGTTTCACCAACAGAAACAATACAAGAGTGGAATTGTTGAGGTGTTGGCGAGCACAAAGAAATCCAGGATGACGATTGCAAAGGCCATATTCACCTTATAAAATCCCGAAGACTGTGGGTAAATAAAAGAACGTGGGTGCCGTAAAATGATTGCCAGTGTGCCGTCTTGACACAAAGAGGGTGTAATCTCCTAGCCTATGTTTGGAGCAGAGGGGGCGAGCAGCAGTCAGTATGGGGAGGAGGAAGACATTCTGTGCTGGCTCTTGCCATCCAGGGGAAGTTTCTGTGTGGGTGTTCCCCCAGTCTGAACGAAGTAGATTCCCAAACCACCCTGTGGAGACTGGGGGACAGGCTGGAGGAGGGGCAGGGCCAGACAGACCCAGGAACACTGAAAACGATGTGTTGTTTTCTATCCCTTCCCACAGGCTTTTATTTATAATCTGTACTGCTTTACGAAGCAGTTGTCACAGACACCTACTCAGGGACACAAACAAGATTCTGTTGACTTCAGTGTTGCTACCAAGATCCTTCTGCATTTCTTTTACATCCCTGTGTTGGCTCCTTGCCCTTTTCCTCCTTTTTAGGATGCTTTGAGATGCTATCCTATTCTCTCTCCCTTGGCATTCTGTTTTCCTTGGTGAGCTGATTCACTGCCACACCTTCAGTCTGTTAGAAAGACTTGTAGGGCTATGATTTGGTCCTTTAAAGAAG